GCCTTGCCAGCTGCATTCAGAGGCATGAGCCTGCCATGCGGAAAGTGATTTGGCAGAACCTTCCTGGATACAGCTGTTAGTCATGTACCCAGCTCATCTGGCTAGCTCATTCAATTTGTTTGGGGAATGCCCATGAGGACTCTGCTTGTGCACTCATGAAATCATATGGGACTTTATTATCTGGATTCCAGGCTTTTGAATCAATTCTATTTGGCAATTCACTTTGAATATTCTGCGCAGCTTTGCAGCAGAGAAATCCCTGTGTAGCAAAGCCCCCATTATTCATTTGTATCTTTGACATTTGTGACTGATCAGGAGTCTACAGTCTCATATTCGCTCTTCTTTTATTGCTATACATATGGCTTGTAATCTTATAACTGTAGCCAGTGATTTTTTTATTATTATTCTTCACACAAAGGCAAAAGAGTCTCCAAGGTTGATGGAAACAGTTGCAGACAATGCACTCCAACAAAGGTATTCTCATCCAAGCAACAGGAAATACATGCATGGCAGACTACAGACTCCTTCCCCGCAACCTGCTAATGCCATTTAATTATGGTCCTGGGACTGTTTATTAAGTTTAGACCTGCTGCTTAACAAACAGCATTAGCAATGACTTTCAGTAATTAAGGCACACATAATTATTTGCCACACATTTTCTGAGCAGCACCATCAGTTCCTGGAATCAGTTGCATCTAGTCACATGACAATGGATGCATGTGTAATCAGAGAGAAGAGGAATAAAATTTTTCTTTTAACAGAAATATTTTCCAGTATGACTGATTCACAGCAAGAAGCTTAGTGAATAAGCTTTGCAAGTGCTATCTTTTTCTTGCATGTATTCCTTCACTATGGCCCCTTGATAACTTTATGCTAAGAGCCAAATAAGTCAGCTAACTTGTTTTCCCCCCTCAAATACCCTCTGCTGTTGTGACTGTATGGACAAAATCCATCAAAGAGTTTGCACAGCTTTTTATAAAAACTTGTTTACATAATATCTGGAGGGCACCATGTTGGCTCCCCGTGAGCTACTATGTTTCAGGCAAAATTACTCCTGCCCAAAGGCATAGCCCATTGAGCAATTAGTTGCAAGTAGCATGAAGTAATGTGTGGTGCCAGAAAAACAGTGAGTACACATGAAAAATCCTGGCCCAGACAGTACATCCTCATCCTCATCATCAGCCACAAACGTCAGATGGTGATTAAGTGGTGATTTTTATGTCATTCTCTTGGGAGTCACTTTGTGAATTCCATCACCAGGGAAATGGGTAGAAGAATTTTATTTTTATAATCAACAGTTAAAAACCTGTAGCATACAAAGGCCTTGAGTGTCAAATGAATTTGCTTTTCTTGGGTGTCCCATAACCCCTTAACTGTTGCCCTGATGCAACAAAGCTACTTTTTAAAAATAAATAAATGGCTTTTTGCAGTTAGGAAAGTGATGGGGAAATAGGCTGAAAAGCGTGGGATGAGTAAATGATTGACAAAAAGAAGTATAACCACCATGCAGGCAAATCAAGATGAATGTTCATTGTCATCTGACCTCCCTGCAAAAAAATTGGAATGAATGGTCAGTAACCGGTGGACACAGTCTAACTTCTGTGTAAGCTTTGTGCAAGCAAATCAAGATGAATGTTCAATAATCAGGATGTCCTGAGAAGCTAAACATCAGGAACTTCCATTATACTCCTTCTACCTGGCTCTTTTGCCTTGAACATTCCTAGCATTGACCAGAAGCTGAACAGACATTCTGTGTAATCTAATTTAGACTGCAAAAACTCTACCCAGCTTCTTTTTAGACAGATTCTGTGTGGCCTAGATTAGACTACACAGAACCTCTACAGGCCATTCTTAAGCCTGACCACAGCTTGGCCATTTGTCATATCTCCATACTATATTTTGTCATGATTTGATGTGGTATTTGACATGACTGAGTGGACCATAATCTGGGTTAATAATGTCAACAGACTCATTGCATTACTTCTCTTTGCGGCAGACTGTTAACAACCCAGGGTTGACCTAACGTAAGAACAAAATGTGCTACATCCATTTGCTGTCTAACCTCCAAAACACAGCTGGTGTCAAATGTCTCTCAGTTGTCATTTAAGCAGACAGCACATTAACTCAGCGGTTAATCCCCTGTGACAGTGGCCTTGTCTCCCATGAGACAGAGAGGTGTGTGGTGAATTAGTGTACACCGTTAGCTTGACACAGAGAATGTAAACAGACATCAAAGGGCAAATGTTCTCTGAAGCAGATTCATTGTGATTTCTAGAGCTCTAAGAAGACCAAGTACACAGAACATTACACAGAGAAAAGATAATCTGACCTGACAAATTGCCGCTTACTGGAAATGAGGATTGGGGAAGTCACAGCCACAGTGATTCAACACAATTGACGATGTCTCGGGCGACCTTCATATTAGCCAAGATTGCCTTTTGAGTGCTTTGTGAAAGAGCTTTGTCCTAGGTCAAGTGTTTCATCACTGTGCCAGCCTAAAACGGAATGTAGATAAATGCCTTCTAGAAAAGAGCTGGGTGCTGCAAACAATCTCTCATTATTTTCGGGTGCTTCTCCAGATGCCAACAATGGATTAAGGCGTATTTCTCATTTTTTGGAACCACTGGGGTGAAAACAAAGGGATTATCCATGGATTTCAGATTCATTTGCATCCGAAGTTAATATACTTAATTCCAGCAGCTCCTTCTTTGTATGCTTTGGTTTCCTTCATTGCACACAATCATGGCCATGCATTTCAATGGTGTGTAAAATGCGATCAAAGTACACCTGTGACATTTAGCTGACTGAACTTCATTCATATTTCAGAAAGCAGGATGGAGGGAGCACTCAGTTGCAATATCTTTGACTTTATCATGAAGGCACGCCATGGACACAATAATAAAAAGAGAGATGTCTATGATGAATCACATGAAGAAACTGAGAGCTAGCCTGTTGAGCTTCTGCAGACACCGTATGCTCAGGCAACAGAATAATGGAGTGCAAATATCACCTGTTCCAAGTGGCATCACTCTCCTGTCAGGACCAGGTGTCTAGCCTAGAGATAGTACTGGGCCCAGCATTGCTCCAAAGTGCCAACATTCATTAGCTACATTCACTTTTGGAAGATGGAGATCAGGCCACTACCATTCATGATTTAGTGACTTCCAGATTAGACTATTGCAATGCATTCTATATGGGGCTGCCTTTCAAGGTTCAGAAGCTTTAGCTAGGGAAGAATGAAACAAGTCATCTGATGATGGGTGCGGACCGAGATTCCCCACCCCTGCTGTAGAGAATTGAAGAGAAGATGAAAGCAATGATGGGGTGGACGGAGATTAGATAGACCCTGCTTGCCAGAGTGGGCACCAAGAAAGATGAGGAAGGTAGTGAAGAGGAAGTAAAAAAGAAATAATGTTGTTGAGGCAAACATTTAGTAAGTGTGAATGAGCATACTAATTTGTAAAGTAATTAAGTATTATGTTTTAAACAAGGTGTGTGTGTATATGCTTTTTTAATTTTCATCATAGCTAGCTTTATTTTTAAAACTCTGGAATGGACAGAGCACAATATAAATCAAATAGTCCATTTTAAATAGATAAACAATATATTGCCAGAAAACAGAAGAAAACAGATTTGTTCAAATTGTTCTCAACACATGTAAAAAATGTTCCTGGAGCATTCAGTGAAGTTCATTTAGTATGCTAATTGGCGTTTGTTTGCAAAAAGAACAAAACCCTGAAACCACAAGTTACTCTTTTATATAACACTTTTATGTATATCTCTGAGGAGCATTTAAACATAAAGCTGTGATATTAAAGTCAAAGCGTGCTGCAGCTATATCCAGTTGATGAGGATTTTCAGTGCTAAAATTACTAATTGGCACAGAACAGGTACGCAACATGAATTATAATTGTGAATACCTGTCTTGTGACACATTAGGCCAAATTTCAGGGCCAACCTACACATTCAGCAAAATGTCAGAATATCATGTGGACCCAAATGGGTCTCTTGGTAGTATCCAATGATTGACAGGTGGGTGGTCCCAAGCTCCGGTCCAACTTGACCTGGGTAATCTGGCTCACCAGCTGATCCAGTTCTCCTTGGGAGTGGAACGCTTTGGAATGCATGTGCTAAAATAACATGACTTTTTAAAAAGAAAAAAGAAAACTTAATTAATTGTAAAAGCAGCATGCCCACCATAATGTTTACATTTGGCTTTCACCTTGGCATGCTACAGGAAGATTTGAAATCCCAGTACACTGCAGAAACCTCTCACAAAGTCCTTCAGATCCAAGCCCAGGTCATCAAAAATGCTAGTCAATGTCCTTGTGACTTCTTATCAAGAACTCTCTTTTTTCAATGTGAGTTAGCTAGGCATTGCCCACAACGTTGCAGACTCCTTGTGCAACGGCAGCACAATAGTTGCCGACCGTAAGAGAAATGGCAACAGATCTGGCAGGAGGCATGAAATACTTTTATGCTTTAAAGGTCTGTCAGGTCACACACTCTGAAGTAATTAATGGGGCACCATGAACAGTCATAAAACTGAAAGATTAAGAGGCCATTAGAACACTGTCTCCTTCACTTGGGGGCAAATGTACACCCTGCAATATATTGCAAGGTTTTAAATGGCTCCAATCCCCACCATTTCTAGCTAGCTGCCATGCTGTAACTCAGGAGAGCTTACTGTAAGGAATAAGAAAGTTTTCTTTCACTCAACTTTAAGACATCGCTTCCTTTTCCTGTTTGAAACAACATGCCAAAAACCTTATACTCTCATAGTCCTTTTTTTAAAAAGAAAGAAAAAGCCACTTATGATGATCATCTATATTAAAGTGGGTGGCTTGCTGGAGGTAATCCTTCCATTTCTCTGGTGAACTGACAGTTTCCATAGCAAAACTGAGGACATAAGCTGCTGCCTTATTTTGGTCCATTATAGTTCAATACTGTCTACACTGACTGGCAGCAGCTGCCCACGGCTTCAGGCCAGGAATCCTTCAAAGTCCTCCCTGAAGATACGGAGAGTCAAACCAGGGACCTTTTGCTTGCAGAGCAGATGCCCTACCACTAAGCTACAAGTCCTGACGGAAATGTTTGCGCATTACTTGTAAGTTTAATACTCACTGAGCTTATAGTGCTATTGAGCAAAATGTCTGTGCATAGACCTGCATTGGAGAAAAGGATGGGGTACAAGCAAAGAGAAGGCCCATTGAGTGGCAAAGGAGTAAAACTCGCAAGGAGGAAGGAAGATGTATGCTGCATTTCATATGCAAAATGTAACATTACAAGAACTTCATTTGGCTTGGGTTTATGAGGCAGTAAAGTGTGGCAAGTGCTCCAAGTTGCATCCTCTCTCTCCTGGGCTCCAGCCGTGGCATTTATTCGAAGGTGCAGTTTATGGTCTCATAAACCAAAAGGTAACTGAACCACTACAATAAAAATATCTTTCACTATGTATAAAAGTTACAAGATTACATACAGTTGTATACTGGACTGTATCATTTGTTTTGTTTTCCTAACTCCTTGTCGTGTTTCATAAGTACGAGGTAGCAGCGTGGAACAAATGAAACCTGCACGCGGATTACATGCCCAATCAATCAATAGACTGTTTAGGAATGAGGGGCAGTGGGGCAACATGCTGGATTTTTGGGTTTTAGGATCAGATATGGACTCAGCCATGAAAAGTAAAGCCTTGTTGCACTATTTAGCACTGATTTAGCAGCCCCAGTGTGTGTGTGTATATATATATATATATATATATATATATATATATATAATATTTATTAATAGTTTCAGAATTATAGAAAAAAATAAAAATAAAAAACAACACTACAATACATAAAAAGAAGAAAAAACGCAAAACATAAAAACCAATACAACAATACAGCAAAAAGATAAAAAAGAAAAAAGGAAGAAAAAAAGACACAAATCCCAAATTACATATCTTTAACTTCCATTTGCTTGTTTCATTGACCTCCTCACACCTCCCTTTTTGTATTCTAGTTTAATTAGTTATTTCAGCAAATTCTTTCCATCTTTCTCAATTTTTGTTAAATAATTTATCTTAACAATTTAACCTAATAATTAGCTCAACAAATCCTTTCCATCTTTCCCCATATTCTGTTATTCAAATTACCTTAATTTATTTAACCTTATCTTACCATAAAATACCTTAAAGCTTGAATCTTAATACTCAAATATACATAACTCCTGATATCATTTCTGCTAGAGTCATATAGTTTCATTCCAACATTTTCCCTAATATTCATTGATTTTAGGCTAATTCCCTAAATAAAAATTTTCTTTATAAATTTTCTTCCAATCTTCATCCAACGTCTCTTCTTCCTGGTCTCGGGTCGTGTCAGTCCTTACTGTCCATTCCATCTAGTCCATCAACCTGGAAGTCTTATGTCCGAGGCCCTTAAGTCTCTTCCATGTCCCTTCTGCAGATCTTCTTCTTCTTGTTTATACTTGCCCTTTTCCTTGTCTTTTGTTGGTCTCTTTCTTAATTTCTTTCCTTTCTCATTGAGGAGTAGGTCTCTGGGGGATTCCAACCCAAAATTGTCTCCATCTCCCTTCATCAAACCTGCCCATTCCCCACGGTCCCACTCCCCACAGTCATCAATGTAATCCAAAAAGTATTTAAAAGCATATTTCAAGGTCTCTCCAAAGTTAGGAACCTCCTCAGCTCCAGACTCTCCCTGGCCCGCTCCAACTTCAATCTTCAATGACAGCGGCTTATGCTCCTGTAGGGCCTCGGGTCTCTCCATTTGTATTATTTGAGGTGCAACCGCATCCTCCTCCATTATCTTCTGCACTTGCCCAGTCAGTACAGGTTCATGAGTTGGTCCCTGAATGGTTTCTGTATCAATGTTCCCTGTTTGTCCACAGTTATTAACCACAACAGTCATCAAGTCCATTTTCTCATTCATCAAATCCATCTTCTCGTGCATCTGTTCCAGCAAGGCACTTGTCTTGCATAAAGCAAGCACCCAATCTTCCTCCCAGCTCATCTTTAGTCAAGGTCAGAAAAGACTGGTCCCACGATCTTAATCTCACAGCTGTTGAGTCCTCAAGTAGACTGCAGCAACAATTTAACAAGCTCCCTCTAGAGGAGACAATTTCTATTTGTATCCATTTTTTTTTAAGGCAAGTCCAACAAAGGAAAATTACTTTCATTTTTCAGATATTTTTCAGATATTTTGTTTCTTTAGAATGCAAAAGGCAACATTGGAATCAGTTTATTTCTCTTCTTTAGCTATCTGTCAAAGTATTCCATTCACAGTCAATGAACCTCTCCAACTATTTCTGTCTCTGACACCCCGTTCCCAGGTTAGAGACGGTGGAAACTTATCCTTCTTCACTCCCTCTCCTGCAGGGGTTAAACAAAGTCCCCCCCCCTTTTCTCCTGCTTCCAAGGGGGTTTCAGTAATTATAAATGAAGGAAATTTAGACTTTTTTAATGGCTTTCCAGGCTTTAGCTTACAAAGTTTTTGCTTTATATACAAAAAGCGGAAGTGGGCTTCCTGTTTTGAACCTTCCCGCTTCGATGCCAAATTAAGATATTTCTTGATCCAATTTTCCGTTTCTACTCACGGGTACTTGTTTTAAATCCAATTGTCCACAGGAAAAAGTCAGTGCTCTCCGGCAATGGCTGTGCGGCTTCACTCCGTGAAAATAGCAATCAGTTCGCAGCACCGCGCCGCTCACCCCACTTCGCTCCGGCGCCCCAAAATGGGGTTCTAGCAGCCCCAGTATATATATTTTCCAACTGAAGCTAACACTTCATGCATCTGATAAAGTAGACTGTACCCCACAAACCTTTTTGGCACAATAATGGCTTTATTTATTTCCTGTTCTCCTTCCCAAAGGAGTCTGACTTTTTCAAGGAAAAAAGGTTTATGGGGTGGAGTCCACATCATTAGATGGGTCATCTTCCATTGGAAAGTACATATACGAGGGCTGCCAAATTGCAGTCAAATAGGACCAAGGACTTGTGGGGGAACCAAAGTTTCACTTTTCTCCATAAACAGAGGTCTCTCTCTTGTTTCTAACCTTGCAAGGCCTGTGGACTTAGAGAAATTGAGATATATAGGGAAAGATAGAAATGTACAGTACAGAAATACAAAAACAGGAGAGCAACACAAGACTTTGTGGCAGCACTGATATGACTGTGGAGGGAGATTCACAGCACCCAAATTTAGTTCACTATTTAGTCCCCTAACAGAGCCAATGCACACTCATGTGAAATATATTACACAGAGTTGGTAGGTTAAAGTGCCATTGAAATGCAAAAAAAAAAAAAAATCACAGTTGTGAACTTGTAAAAAATTGATTACAGCTTAAGTATTTGAAAAATAATCATGGTCGCCATTCACTACAGAAGTAATTGACAATAAGACAACCAGCACTGCAGTGTAAATTAACACCTGTAATGGGACAGGAAACTATTGATGCCCCTGGGTAGACTTCTACATTTCACTGTATCTTTGTCAAATCTCCCTCACAGGATTACTGTGGAGATGAACAAAACTAGTGTGCTTAAAGCAAGCACCAAAACTGTCTCCATATTTGACGTTTAATACTGGAGAGTCATTTGCCTCCTAGTGGTGTCTGAGAAGCAGAAACTGCAGGAACGCTGAGGGACAGATGGCTATATTCTAGTGGACAGAGCCTTCTGGCCTAGCTGTATATTTGTAACAAAATTAACTCTGTTTGTTCTTGTCCTTCTCACCTGGCCCAAGTCTTTTCTCAGCCTGCCAGAGGGCAGCCCTAAAAATAAACTACCAAGAGTGGCAATGAGGCAAGAACAAACTCTGTGAATCTTTCCTAAGAGACTTCTAAGGCCAGAGTTTAAAGAAGTGTAAAGCCTGCTCTGTTACATCAGATCAAGGAGATGGAGATCTGAACAACTTTCCTGTTATATTCCACAGTACTTTTTGCTGACCAAGGGAGTGCAAACTGAGTTCAGCTCTGAACAAAGAGCTATATTTCTGTCTTTAGTGGGGAAGTGTTGCTCTGCATGATCAATGAACATGGTAATCTTGCCTGCAGTTAACCCTGTGGCCACCTTATTTGATATACTGAAGCAGTATGATGAGCCTAAGAAAAGTAGGGCTGCCTTCAGACATGGGGTTTACTGCGTTAGTTTTACTGGTTAGACCAGGGGTGTCAAACTCAAATTCATCGGGGGCTGCATCAGCAGTTTGGTCACCCTCAAAGGGCCGGTTGTATCTGTAGGACTATGTGTCCACTCTTTATTATCATAAATTATTGTCACTGCATTCAATTATTACTGTTTTTTGTAATAAGTAATAACTAGCTCTGAAAGCAGAAACATAGTCAGAATAATGGCAAGTAGATATTCAAATGTACAATTATCACATCATAGGATGGCATGCGCTCAATATAAAAACAAGTGGAGGTTTCCTGAATGCATGTAAAGTGGAGGTTTCCTGTGTAGAACGGCCAGCGCCGCTAGAGGGCAGACGTTCTCTGGCTTGTAGGCTGCCGCGCATGCCATGAAGAGGCGGCTTTCTTGTGTCAAAAAAAAAAAGCAAGAATAAAAGGTGAAGGCTGGCGGCGGCTACACGGGCCATATGACGAGGTCTGGTGGGCCGGATTCGGCCTGCGGGCCTTGTGTTTGACACCCTTGGGTTAGACTGTTAGTGCTTCTGTCCTGATTTCTAATGTTCCCTTTACACTGCAGTACCTCTTGTGTTATGGAACTGTAGCTTTTTTTTAATCAATATACCATCATGCCATGCTAAATTTTAAACAGTGGGAAAGAACTGTATGCCAGGATGCTGCCTCAAATTTCATCAAATGAAATTACAATGCAAAACTCTCAAGATTTCCCAAATCAATTGGATTGCTAATGGATTAAAACAATAACAACAACATGGAAATGAAAACTCACCTCCCTCTAGATTCTACTAGATTTCTAGAAGTGGAAAGATAACATAAAACAGGGAAATTATCAGGTAGGGAAACATCAGGTAAACAGAATAAAGTGCTATGTGCTAAGTGTTCATTTAATGGAAACAACATGTAGCAAAGGATATGGACACATCAGTGGCTTA